CTGGCATCGCCAAGCCTCGGGCTCAGGGAGCAAGTGTTGGATTGATGGAGTGGCCCCACGCCCCGGTGCTCCCGCGGTGGCGCTGTGTGGACCTCTCCTTTGCTTGCTCTGTCCCTTGCTCTGCTCTGTAGACGCCTGGGTATTCTGCAAATATCTAGTTCATTTAGGGCACCCCAGGCAGGGCTCTGGCCTTGCCAAGACCCTGGTGCCACTTTGTGAAATAATGCTAATCACGTGGCCATCATTCTCCTCTGTCTTTTCCATCTTTGAGGGCAGACACCAAACCTGACTCATCCGTGGGTTTCCAGCATTGCCCAGGGCCTGGTGCTAAAGTGAAGTTACACATGACATAAATATTTACAAGTGATCTGAACTCCGGGGTAAGGGCAGATCTTCGCGGTGAGGAGGGAGAGTGCACATGGCCAACCCTCACGGGGCCCTCTGTCCCCTCCATTCCCAGTCTTCCTACAGAACAAAGCTCGCCGAGAGGACTTCTGTCCTCGCAAGCTGCGGCAGATGCACCTGATGATCGACCAGCTCATGGCCCACTCGCACCTGCGCTATAAGGGTGAGGGTCCCCGAGCCACCCCCAAGCTGGCAAACTTCATGGCCTAGATCCCCAGACTGGTCTCCTGATCCTGGCGTGACCATCTTTCACGTCTGTCCCCCCCACCCCCCCGCCTTTGGCAGCATGGTACCTGCAGGCTCATCGTTTCTCTCCCCCAGGTACCCTGTCCATGTTACAGTGCAACGTCTTCCCTGGGCTCCCCCCTGACTTCCTGGACTCTGAGGTCAACTTGTTCCTTATGCCCTTCATGGACAGTGAAGCGGAGAGTGAAAACCCACCAAGAGCAGGTGTGGTTCCCCCTCCAGGCCATCAGCTGCGGGGAGCCGGGGCTTCCTTGGTCTGAGGTGGACACAGATTCACGTCAGTTAGGGGGAGACACGGGCTGCCCGGTCTGGGGATGACAGGGACCCCCGCCGGGTGTGAGGGGAGGCTGGCCTGTCTCTGTGGTGCTTGGAGCCTTTCTCGGGGGCAGGTTTCAGAGTCGTGGAAGTACAGGAAAAGCTGGGTGGGGCTGAACTCAGGTGCTCCTGGAAGGCCCCTTATTCTCCCCCCCTAACTTCCCAGGACTCGGTTCCAGCCCGCTCTTCTCCCTGCTTCCCGGGTACCGTGGCCACCCCAGTTTCCAGTCCTTGGTGAGCAAGCTCCGGAGCCAAGTGATGTCTATGGCCCGGCCGCAGCTGTCACACACAATCCTCACCGAGAAGAACTGGTAAGAGCTCTTGGCAGGAAAGGGTCAGTGTGAGGCACACACACCGCCAGACCCCTGCCCCCGACCAGTGCCCACTGAGCATGTTCTCCGAGCCTCTCCACGTTCACTTTCCTTTTCTGGCACATCGATGATTGATTGCTGCCATCTTGTGAACGCCCCTTCCATGTCGGGCAGCATGCTGTGTGTGTGTGCGGTTTTTCATTTTGTGTTTTTTGGGGAGAGATGTTAAAATTGGGGTCAGGGTTAGGGTTTAGGGCAGAGTTTAGGGTTAGGTTTAGCAGGTAGGTTAGAGTTAGCTTTAGAAGTAGCGTTAGGATTATTGAGGATTTAGGGTTTAGGGTTATGTGTAAGGTTATGGTTATGGTGTTAGGGTTTAAAGTTTAGGGTTTAGGGTTAGGGTTAGGCTATCGGGGTTAGAGGGTTAATGTTAGGTTTCGTGTTAAATGAAGTTAGTGTTAGAAGATTAGGATTAGTGTTAGATGGTTAGTGTTGGAGGGTTAAGGTACAAGTTAAGATTATAATTACAAAGTTGTATTAGGGTTAGGTTTATTTTATTTTTTATTAATTAAACTTAATGGGGTATCATTGGGTAATAGCATTATCTAAGTTGTAAGTGTGCAATTCTATGATACATCATCTGTACCTTGCATTGTGTGCTCGCTGCCCAAAGTCCAGTCTCCTTCTGTCACCGGATGTTTGACCCCTTTACCCTCTCCACCCTCCCCTACCCCTTTCCCCTCTAGCCACTGCTGTACTATTGTCTGTATCTCTAAGTTAGTATGTTCATGTGTTGCCTTCTGTTTTATGTACCACATTGTTTCGTGTGATTTTGAATTCTCCTAATTAGCCAGGGGGTGCAGGTTTCGTCACCGATTTTACTAGTGGGGAAATGTAGGCTCAGAGAGAAGTGTGACATAGCGAGGTCACATACCTGTGGTTAGGTGTCACTTGATTGTGAAGAGTAGAACCAGTGGACCCAGTCAAACTTGAAGAAGATTCATTCTAAGGCCCTGAGTGTGAAAGTGTGGCCTCGCAGGAAAGGAAACCAGAAAGCCGGCAGGAGCCACAGGACCGGCACTGCGTTCAGTCTCGTCGTCCCCTCCTCGTTCCCCCGCCTCTGCCCGCTGGCCTCCACCCCGCTTTCCCAGAGCCCCGCGCCCCTCCGCAGCCCCAGCTTTACGTGACTTTCTATGTACAGAGCCCACAGAAGGTCTGCCTCCTCTACTTTCTAAGAGAAACAGATTTGAAAAAAATAGGCTGGCTTGGTGCTGGCTTGGTGCAGCCTCTGTCTCGGCTCCCTGGGTTTGTTGGCCGTCGCTGGGGAAGGGGCAGGGAGTAACAGCAGCAGGGCAGTGGGGGCAGGGCGAGGTGGGCGGGAGCTCTGCCCCTCCCATTGGTCTAAACCAGGGCCCAGGGGAGGGGAGAATCGGGGAGGTGGAGGGGTTACGTAGCCAATCATCAGGAGACTTTGGAGGGAAGCAGAGAGAGAACCGCTTCCCACAAAGGCCAACACTCAGTGGCGTTGGGGTTAGTTGGGACTTGGAGGCAGGGGCTGACGTTAGTCCAGATCCCAGACCTTCAGCCTCACTTACCACAGGAGCAGTCAAGGAATCAGGGCCACCTCCCATCAGCGCTGGCACCTTCCCTGCAGCCCAGCTGAGGAGGCTCACCCGCAGGTCGTACATGGGCCAGGCTTCGGGGGGCCCTAGCTGGGCAACCCTGACTGTTGGCCTCCTCTCGCAGGTTCCACTATGCTGCCCGGATCTGGGACGGGGTGAAAAAGTCCTCTGCCCTGGCAGAGTACAGCCGCCTGCTGGCCTGAGACGCAGGGAAGGAGGGTCACGCGGGGAACCCTCCTGGGTCCCCAGTGGATGGCGACGGAGCACTTACGTCCCCCCACCGGCGGCTGGAGAGTGACAGCAGCCCTGGTGGATGAGGGACCATGACTTCCTCGCCCAGAGACACGAGGTGTTCAGTGCCAGGACCCCCGCTCAGGGCAGCGTTGTTCAGGGGCGACTTTGAGATGCCACCCCTAACCTGGGAAGGGGCAGCCCGTGCTCAGCCCCCGACAGGGATAGGTAGGGGGAGGAGCCTGAATGGTCACCAAGAAGCACAGGCCCCATCTTGGCCTCCCTCTGCAGGGACAGGAGCAGCAGCCCCCGCTTCCCCGACTCGCAGCCCTTTCCTGTAAGGTGAGGCCCGGTCTGGAAGCTCTTTACTTGGAAGTCCTCTCTGGTGGTTCAAATAAATGCAGCTGTGCAGTCCTGTTCTCGCGCTCCTCCTCCTCCTCTCTCCCCAGGCCGCTGTCCTGGCAGCAGGGCAAGTTGGGGTCCGAACCCTCGCGGGCAGATTATCCATGGCCACCCATGGGAGCCTGAGTGAACTTCCCACAGGGACGCATTCAGTATCGGTCATAGAGTTGTTGGGAGCAGATGAATCCCCCAGAAAGGGGTGCTCTTTTCTGGGGTGACGTCAAGCCTCCCTCTCTGCCGCAGCTCGGAAAACGCAGCGCCCTTCACCTGCCCTCGTGTCACCTGCCCTCCCGTGAAGACGGCGCCGCCTTGGGTGAAATGCCTGAATACAATGCCTGATTTAATACATGGTTAACAATAGGGGAACGAGTCTAGTTAAATACACTTGGTTAAATATCATACTTGCCCTTGGTTGAAGCCCGTTCTACATTGTTCAAACACTCAGACCTGACCCTTGCACACGATGCCTGTTGATTAATATGGGGGCTTCCTTCCCCTATAAACCTCATCTGCTCTTACTTTAAAAATGGTCCCTACCTTTCGTTTAAATCCAGACCTACCCCCCCGCCCCGTGCCCACCCGCTAAACATCACACAGTTCAGTTAGTCCCTTCTCTCATCTGCTCAGTTAAATATGGCACCTAACCTTAGTGGTCCCCAAAGTTCCCAAAGTCAGTCTCAGCATTGGTCTGGCCGTCCCCGCCACCTCAGATCAGTCCTGTCAAACCTTCCACCCTTCCGCGAAGCAGTTGGTTCCAGTCTGCCCAGCTGAGTCTCACCTGTCTACCGCCGCCCCATGCCTCCTCTTTGTCTCCCTGGCTCCCACCTGCCCTCGGGCAGACCCATAGAGTCCTGTGTCCATGTCATGGGAATCCGGAGTCTGTCAAGAAAAAAGCACAACCGAAGAGGGGAGGAAAGGGAAAAAAGCCCTCAGAGGCCAGGGAGGGTCTGGTCCGAAGTGGGGAGTCAGGCCTCAAGAGAGGGCTGAAGTCTGGGAGAGTGAGACCCGGAGCAGGCTTTGGCCCTGCCACTTGCTGACGACACCTTACACGGGAACCTCCCTTAGTGGTCGCCAGGGCCCTTCAGGGCTGTGACATTCACTGCCCTCTTACGGAAAGGCTTCTGCCCCCTTGCCCCACTGCCCCAATCTGCACGGGCTCTCCTAACAGCCTTCTCCAGGTAGACAACGGAGATCTTGTCAGAACGCATCTGTCCCATGGCCCAGCCCGTCCCCCTGCTTCCCAGGTGGGCTGCTGGTTGCTGTGGTGGGCTGCCAGAGTGGGGAAGGTGGGGGCAATGGCCTGGGAGGCCGTGAGACCCCCAGGCACAAAAGCATGAGACAGCACACGGCTGAGTCCAGGAGTCGGACTTCATTTTCTTACGCCCCACACCACCAACCTGGGGACAGATGGAGCCCATGTCCTCCCAGCCCTGTGCTTCCGCCTCCAGCTGGCCTAGGCCCCGGGCTGGGATCACTGGTCGGAGCTGTTGAGGAAGGTCTGCCTCAGCACACTCTGGGCATCCTTAAACGCCACATCCAGGGACAAGCGGAGCATCCGGTAGACGGTGGCAAAGGAGATGCCGCAGGTGGCCAGGGCGCCCAGGACAGGCACGTTGAGGAGCTCCTGGGTAAAGGCATTGGCACCCCCGGAGGCCTGGCCCAGCAGGTCCACCACCAGCTCCTCGGTGACCTTGGTCTTGGGGCCCTGCACCGCCTCCAGGATTTTGTGCAGGGGCTGGCTCGTCTGCTCAGCCAGCTTCCCCAGGGAGTCCCTGTCCAGGCCGAAGCTACGGCGGTAGCCTTCCAGGGAGCGGATGAGCCGGTAGAGGTCGCATGCCACATCCCGTACTCCTGGCACAGGGCTTGGGTTGATGCCACAGGCCACCGTGGCCACGAGCCAGATGTGCTGTCGCAGCGAGGCCGCTTTCTTCTCCAGGATGGGCTTCGAGATGCTGGGCAGGGCCACCAGGAGCGCATGCTGCTTGTGGCTTTCTATTTCTTTCACCATCGACTCCTCCAGCCGGCAGAAGTCATACTTGCCCAACTCAAACATGGAGAGCAGGAAGACCTTGGGGTCCTCCAGGCCCTCCGCTGCAGGAGACAGGAGCACCGTTCACTAGCTTCCACATCAAGGCGGCCTTGGTGTCCTGACAGCTGCCTGGGCTCAGGCACTTGGCCATGAGTCTGCCCATCCTGTGGCTAAAGAGTGTGGGCCCTGGAGCCAGGCTGCCTGAGCCCATCTGGGAGCCTTGCGACCTACCACCTGTGTGGCCTTGGGCAAGTTGCCTAACCTCTCTTGTCTACAAAATATGGTGATTGTTGTACCTATTTCTTAGGGATGTGGTGGTGGTGAACTGAGTTCATGAAAATGGTGCCTGGCCCGTGCCAAGCCCTCAGTGAATGTTAGGTGCCATCAGCTACAGGTGCCAGCGCCTGCATGGGCACATGGCTTCTGCAACTGCTTGAACTTGGTAACCAATACACAGGCCAGTACATCCTTTTTTCCCTTAATGCAAGTGATCGGTCTCTGTCACCTGTGACTGAGAAGCACCAACTCTCAGGAACGTAGTGTAAGGCCTGACGTCGGCTTTTCGGTTTGCACTGCAAGTGCCCAGCTTAAGCTTTGGTTGCAGAGGCGTCCATTTCAGAGAAGGCTGTCAAGTAACCTCGTGGCCGAATAATTTCATGGCTGGCCACGTGGCCGCCCCTCACTGAGGCGCCTTTGTTTTAGAGCGCTTGGTTGATTTCAGTATCTGACCATTTGGGCTACTGTGTTTCAAAGTACTGCTCATGTGTTTTAAATTCACCAATAGAGAGCGAGCTCCAGAACCCTAGGCCCTGACCCGCAGCCCCAATAAGAGCAGCACCCCAGGCCTGCTGTCTCTCTCTACCTGCGACCTCACTGTGTGGCCCCAGGTATGCTGTGTAATTTCCAGGTCCTGTGAGTAATAGACCTGTATCCTTTTAATGTTTCCTGATGGCTATTGCTGAAGGGCATCACAACACTATGGGGCCTTGGTCAGTCGCGAAGTGTGACTTTAGATGCCTTGTTTTCCTGCTCTGGATCTCAGAGGGAAGATTGACGGGGAAGAGGCAGGCAATCCCTCAAGAACCCACCCACCCTAACATCCTCGGAACTGCACCTCACCTTCTAGCCGCTGCAAACAGTCGTCCCGGATCTGGCTGAGCACCCGCTCCTCAGAAAAGGTGCTGGGGCGGCGGCTGCGTGAGGCGGCCATGTCCGCATCCACCTTGGAGCGGACAAAGTAGAAGCCCTTGCTCTGCTGTAGGATCTCGTGGGCCAGCTGGGCGTGACTGGCAGTGAAGTTCTCTGAGCTGATGATTAGGAAGAAGTCGTAACGGTCCACCCGCACCCGCTGGAGGTATTTGTCAGCCTGGAAGGTGGGTGCACCTATGCCGGGCAGGTCCCAGATGATGACGTTGGGGTACTTGGGGTGTGGGTACGGCGTGGGCTCCACAGTCATTTCCACCACGCCTGTGAGGGCGGAGTCGGGGTCCTCATCTCCCAGCCCCCGGATGACATTGACGAAGGTCGACTTGCCTGAGCCTGTTCCCCCGGTAATGCCAATGTCCAGCCTGACGTTCTCCAGCGAGTGAAGAGTCGCCTGCAGCTTGGCGGCCACGGCTGGCAGGTTCCCCGCCTCGAAGGCCTCCTTCAGAGCCCTGGCGTCCTTTGACAGCTCCAGTGTCTTGGACTGGCTGAGGCCCAACTGGAAGATTTTGCTTGCCATGGGCTGCCTGACCCCCAGTTCTCCTTAAGGACTCGGTGACCTTTGGCAGGATGGGTAAGGGAGTATTTTTGCCCTGAGCTGCCCTCTTCTTTCCAACCCTCAGCAACTGCAAGGCATTTGCAGCATCAGCAGTCATACTACTGGTGTAACAATATGCCAGGCCCAGTGCTAAATATTTTAGTTAACATTTATTCATTGCTGCCAGCCTCTCCTAGAGCCTCTCGTAAAATCCCAAGAGCCAGAAAAGGAGATTCCCTTACTATCCACATTTGGCAGCAAGAGGATAAAGTCCTTTGCCCAGGGCCTCCAGCTCATGTGTAGGGGTTGGGAATGGGACTGAGGTCTTCTGATTCTAGAATGCAAATTCTTTTTTTTTTTTCCCTTGAATTTTAGAGCAAGAGAGAGAGATTGATTTGTTGTTCCCTTAGCGACGCATTCATTGGGTACTTCTTGTATGTGCCCTGACCAGAGATCGACCTGCAACCTTGGCATAGCGGGACGACACTCTAATCACCTGAGCTACCTGGCAAGGGCTAGAATTCCAATTCTTAGGTAACTTTTGGGGGCATGATCCCTGCACCAGGCAGGCACTGCAATCAACAATATACGTCAGTGATTAGATGGAAATGATGGGACCCTCATCATTTTTAATAGTAGTTAATTTAGTTAATGTTTACTCTGGGCCAGCCACTGGTCAAACCATATGCAGCATTTCATTAAGTCCCCATTTTACAGAGTAGGAAGCGGAGGCTCGGGGAGGTAAAGTCCCTCGCCAAATCACTTACAGCCTGTACCAGAACCAGGGCATGGACGAGCTCCCCCTGGTGCTTTCTGGTTGGTTGGTTTGCTGTGTTTCCCTATGACCCTTTTTCCATACAAACCCCCCTGATCTTTGCACAATTCCGTACCTGCTATGGGCCAGGACCTCTTTGGGTGCTATAGTTCCAACGCCAGGAAAAGAGACCCAAGGGAGCTGGCGCATTTGTGGGAACATGGCCCACCCACCGCCCAGCTTCTGGGTGCCCATCCGCTCCGCACCCGCAGTGCGCACCTGGGCGAGCCCCCTCCTGCCCTGGGCCTCGGAGTCCTCACTCAGGATGGACAGGGGCTGCCAGCGCTCACACGTGGAATTGCATCGCTGCGTCTAGTCCCCACCATGCCAGGGCCTTGCCCGGTGACACTGAGCAAGTCACGTCCCCTGTGCAGCCTTTATCTCCACCACCCTTGGGGGGTGGGGGTCGGCTTCCTCACCTGTGGAATGGAGAGATGACTCCTCAGAGCCCCCCCAGCTCTGCTGTTTCAGGGAGATGGGGGGCTTGCTGTGGATGAGGTTCAGGCAGGGGCCAGCCTGGGAGGGCCTTGGGACATCAGGCTGAGCTTGATCTTTATCTGTGGGGAGCCATGGATAAGAGCTTGAGCAGGGGAGGGTGCGATCCGCTGTGGACATCGGAGTCCTCCTTCTGTGGCTTTATGGGGAATGAGACTAGAGCAGGGAGGGGAGGAAGGAAGGGGTGAGGGCCGCAGCTGCGGGGAGAGGCGAGGCCTGAACTGGACCAGGGGCTAAGGGGGTTGAGGTGGGGTCGGGGAATAGAGAGATGGAGACAGAAGGGCCAGGGCATGGTGACTAGTTGGAGACGAAAGTAACCCATTCCGTCTTTCCTAACCCTAGGCCCAGCGTGGAGAGAGCACTCTCTTCTCACGTCTACCTTTCCACCCCTGCCCCTCGCGGCCAGTGGGTCCTGTGTTTAGGGTGATGTCTGAGGGCCCACAGGTACAGTGATGTGGGCTGTGCTTTGCAAATAGGTTTGGAAAGGTGCAGCTGTCTTCTGCATCTGGGCTCTGGGATTTCCCTCCCATGATGCCCTGCACCCTTTTTGGTGAGGAAGGGTCCCTGTGAACGCTGGTAGCCTGGCAGAGCCAAAGAACAGGGAGGCCTCTGGGAAGAGAGGAATCCTTTTGCGAAACAGAGAACTCCTCAGCTGATAGAATTGGTACCCCCTCAATTGTGCAAGTAAAAGTGGACCCGCTGAGTTGGGAACTGTTTCCTAGGGTCATGGGTAATTTGAAGCCCCCAAATGAGGCAAGAACCATCACCAGGCCCTGGAAAATCCACAGGGAATATTTGTGAGCACTTTGGGGTGAGGCAACATCCCTACACCGCAGTCCCCATTCTGCCACCGGCCTTGTACACGGCCACCAGAGCCTTCTGCGACTTCCTGGGAACTCAGCCTTCTTCTCTGCACCTACGTCTGACCCTTGCCTGACCCCTGCCCAAGCCCACAGGAACCCCAGGGCAGCCCATCCTGCCCAGGCCCCCCAGGCTGGTGGCTCTCAGAGTTTTCAAATGTGTCATCTCTCAACCAGCCGAGGAATTTGGCGTCGCTGGACTGCCTGGTCCAGACTCAGATGTGCACACCCAGTGTGTCGCGCCTTCCTCGTCACTCAGCCACATGCAGCTTTCCGAGCCCAACACGGCTGCCGTTACTCAGACTCCCGGGCTTTCAGCCCATTCCTGGCATTCGCGAGGGGCATACGCCCACCCACACACAAACCATGCAGACAGACAGACATCCCCAGTCTCAGCAAACTGCTCAAAATCAGGGGGACTCATCAGGATCCCTCCCGGCCAGACACACGGGCGCACTTACCGCCACACACAGTCACACTGGGACATGCCCGCCCTCTTTCGAGGTGGCGGAGTTTTGCCCTCCGCCTCCTCTCCCCTTTGATGCTCAGAGAAACCGCCCACCCACCCTCTCTCCGCCCCCCACAAAGGCCAGCCCAGGGACCCTGTGGCTCCCCTCTGCCGGCCCCCCAGCCCACCATCACTCACAGGCAGCAGTGCTGGCCCAGGACGCCCATCTGCCCACCTCTGCTTAACCCAGTTGCTAGGCACCATTGTGTCCCTCCTGGGCACCGATTGGCTGCCCCTCCCCCCTCCGGAGGAGGCCTTGGGGTCACTGGGGTGCTCAGGAAGGGATATGACATTGCAACTAAAATAAGTTCCTTAGCAGGGCCCTGGTCCCCACTCAGCCACCCACCACAGGCAGGCAGTCGGCTCCTGCCTTGGATCCAGGCCCGGCTGTCCGGTCGCCCCACAATCCCTCTTGGCCAGTGGGGACCAGGGAGAGAGAGACCACCAAGGAGACCTTGGCCCCCCACCCATACGGAGAGCTTCCCCCCTCAGGGTCAATTCCTGTCCCCGGTCAGTGTGTCCGGCTCCGACGCGGGCCACCTGCCTCCCTCAGGTCCCTCCACACCCTGCCCCCAGCAACCGCAGCTCCGATAGTCACCACATTGGCCTTCTGTGTGTTTGGCTTTATTAAGGCTTGATTTCTGGATGGGGCGGGGTCGGGGGTGGGGACTGCACTTTTATTTCTCTTCCAAGTCCCGCTTCTTCCAGCTGTCGAGGATGTACTTGAGGAGGAGGCCGAGCTTCCGGCGGGTGGACAGTGGGGCTTCCTCACTCCCTCCCTCCCCGGATCCGTGCTTTTCCACCCCATTGTCACCAGCCGCCTCCAAGCTGACCTCAGGCTGGGACTCATCCTCCTCCAGGGCCTTGATGCGGACCCGCTGGGCGTCCTCCGCCATCTCGTTGAGGCAGCCCTGGAGCATGGTGTAGACGGTGCCGAAGCTGATGCCGCCGGCCACCAGCGTACCGAACACGGGGATGCCCTTCTCGAAGGCCCGGGCCACCCGCATGGCGCCGTCCGACGACTGCGAGTAGAGCCGCAGGACAGCCTCGGGTGAGACCTCGTTGGCCAGCGGGGAGCGGATGACGGAGCGCAGGTCGCCTGCCTGTTTGCCCACCTGCTCGGCCAGCTTGGCCAGCGAGTCGTCGTCCAGGCCAAAGCTGCGGTGGTAGCCGCGCAGGGAGCGGATGAGCAGCGCATCGTCGTAGGCGGCCGCCAGCCCGGGCACGGGCAGGGCCTGGATGATGCCCGACACCAGGGCCGTCTTGAGCACTTGCTCCTGGAGCATGTCCTTTTTCTTCTGCACGGCCTCCAGCGAGATGTCGGGCAGCGACAGCAGGCCGGCGTGGCGCCGGTGGGCAGGCAGGTCGTGCTCCCAGGTGGACGTCAGCAGCGGGAAGTCGTAGCGGACCGGCGAGAGGTTGGACACCAGGAAGATGCGGGGGTCGGCCACGCCGGCCGCGCGCAGCTGCTCGGCGCAGTGGTCGCGGATCTCCTGCAGGACAGTGGCCTCGCTGAAGCACGAGGGCCGCTGGCTGCGCGTGGCCGCCAGGTCCTCGTCCACCTTGGTGCGCACGAAGTAGAACTTCTTGCCCTGGCGCAGGATCTCGGAGGCCAGGCGGGTCTCCACGGCCCCGCAGCGGCGGGCGGAGACCAGCAGGAAGAAGTCGTAGCGGCCGAAGTCCACCTGCTTCAGGTACTTGTCAGCGGGGCAGCCTGGAGAGCCGGCCCCGGGCAGGTCCCACAGGGTCACGTCGGGAAACTGCGGGTGCAGGTAGGACGAGGGGTGCATCGTGGTCTCCACGACGCCCGTGAGAGCCGCACCAGGGTCCTCAGCCCCCAGGCCGCGAAGGGCGTTGATGAGGGACGACTTGCCAGCGCCAGACTCGCCTGTGACACCCACCTCCAGGCGGGTGCTCTCCGACGAGGCCAGCAGCTCGCGCAGGCGGGAGGCGGCCTGGGGGATGTCGCCCGACTCGAAGGCCGTGCGCAGGGCCTCCAGCTCTTCTTTGGCCATGAGGATGGTGGTCTCCTCCTCTCCGGGGCACTTCGAAGTGGCCATGGCTCAGGGGGTGCGGGGGATGGGAGAGAGACGGGACCAGGGGTCCTGGTGTCTGGGGGTGGAGAGGGGAGCCTTTCACATCTCCTGGGCCTTGCCCGGGGCAGGAGGCACCAGGGACGTGGAGGAAGTGCCCCCTGGCACCCCACAGCCCTCTCCCTCTCAAACACCCAGGGCCACATTTTTGACGTGAATTAGGGGCCTTTGGAGTCTGGCAGGCTCAGGTTGACATTGCATCTCTGCCACTG